TAAATCACCATAAAGTCAAAATCGACATCCAATATTTCTTCGATCAGAACTCTATGAAATTCTACAAGAGAGACACTGAATACCCACCCTCGCATTGGTGATATGTTGGTAATAATGGTGATGTATACTATGCTGAATAAATACATCAGAGAAATAAGATAAGTAATTAATCGAAAAACACCAAAGGTTCTCAAAAATTATGGACCGACCTAATAGATGGGCGATGAGGAAGCTTTCCATTTCATTCGCTATGTTTTCGTCAATATCAAAACCTTTTGACCGCTAACCTTCACAAGATGGTCAGTGTTCATGGAAGCATCATATGCTGCTGGCTGTACCTATTGCAATATCATCGCCACCAGAAGCTAAGTTAACCGCAAAGCTTCCCAACACCTAAAGCATAGTACTTGTTTACGACAATGGCCAACGATAAGCAGTCTAAGCAATCGTATTAGTTATCCAAAGCTTACTCGCCTGCTAGACCGAGTTTGTTTCCGAAAAATGATGGATCCTCATGGGTATTGACGAGCTGAGAGGAATGACTGCCTTATTACCAGCACTATAGTAAGCCTTTCTTCACTAACATCGCTCAAATCCGTAAACCATGCATGCTGCCTCATACAATAGCTCGGCCACTCAGTTGCACTAAAGCCTACTAGATCAAGATCTGATCTGAATATAGGATGGCGAAAAATTACGTGCGGTATAAAACACGTTCAATCCTTATTTATTTTCTACAAGAAGTTGAAAGTTGTTAATTTATGAAATAACAAACAATAATGTTTCACAAGAATGCTGGGTTGTGAACAAAACTTTCGCCCCAGGCGGGACTAGAACCCGCACCTCTCGCTTTCCGGGCAAGTGCGCTACCAGTTACGCTACCGGGGCACCATTTCAATTACACTACAGCGGTTAACAATCAAAACAAGTCAAAAACAAACAATAATATTTTATAACTGTAAAAAAGATTTGGAGTAGCTGCCAGCAATTATGATAGGCCTCAATTTGTTTCTTCACCGAGTCAATGGTGCGGCGGAGGTGTTCAACGCATATTTCATTCCAAATTTTAGGCAGTTCTTTTCAGAATCACCAAACTTTTTGCATTTCGATTCCTTAGTGGTTCTTCAATAAAACCCCAAACAGAGAAGTCTAATGGATCTGAATTCGGACTGTGAGCAGACCATGAATCCATCGCCACAAAACAGCCGATACTGGTCTCGAAGAAGTGGGTCGGTGTATTGGTCCATGGGCCCGAGCGCGTTCCTGTAAAAAGACAAATGTTATGATTCTGCTTCTAGGGGCAACAGTTTTTTCAAGGATCCCTTCTTGGTAGACCTTCCCATTGATTTCCGCGCTTTTATCAATAAAAACCTGTACAGGCCTGCTCAGAGCAGTGATCCAGCCTCAGTCCATCAAATTTTCAGGGAACGAGATTCTTCTGGGTACTTTCCTACTCAAGGATGTTGCTAAGCTGGTGTAAAAAATTAAAGGTGATTGTCAGAGTGTTAAGGCACCTGAACGGCAGGAAACACAGGGCGTCCTAGGACCGCCGCACCTCGGAAAAAATCCCCCACAACTTCTTATTTTTCTTCCGATCTTGCTTTGCTTGGAGGGTGGGAAACTGCCCGTTTGATATACGATATAGTCCATTCCGCACTTTATTTTTGCTGTCATCTGAACAATTTCTCGGGAGGCTTGGTTCTGTTCGGCCCTCTTATTCAAGCTCAGGTCATCTTTTTGGTCATTCCTCTTTCTAATTTCTCACAAATCGGGTGTTGGTAATCCGTTCTCATTCCCTTACTTAGAAGGTGGTCTTCATCTTTCTAATGCTTTTCAGTTTTTTGGACGGGAGAAATCGTTTGGCTCTCAGTCGAGCACTTTGCTTGCCATGCACACTCCAACTTGAATAGGTCTTGTCAGAACTTGGAAAACAAATTTCTTTTTTTGCAAACCAATAACTAGCTATTAACAAAGATTTTAAAGAAAAAAGCACACACAAATTCTCCTACAATGTTTTAAACGAAGCGGTATGTCACGCGCACGTAATTTTTCGCCACCTCTGTATAAGTGGTGGCCAAAATAACGGTAACCAGATAAAGTGTCATGGAAATTCTGTACAACTAAGAAAAGACAAGCGGAAGACTGAAATATGTGCACTGAAGACTGATGAACGAAAAACCGCATGACCCTCCAAGTAGCCGCTATGCCCTCCGAAAAAGGCGCGAAGTCTCCCGGGACTGACCATGAGCTGCCCGTGGCGTGTTGATAGACGGCCTCGAGTGCGTTCCAGGCATTATGAAGCGGTTTCTTGAATCCATTAACGTCTCCATGATGTCAGCAGCAGGTGCTCGTCTTCCCACTCTTCGCACAGCGTGAATTAGTAGATTTGTGTAGGGAACTCTAGTTGGCCACTTCCAAACGCATAATTTCTGGGCAGCTCAGCTGGCAGAAACTTCGCGCAGTTCGTCGGGTGCCGGGTTCTACAGAAATGTTCAATCGTGTTGTGATTTCTTCCCTCAGTCCAAGAAAATATTTAATTGAGAGAAAGTTCGTTTGAGAATCTTCACTTCTCTATCTTCTATCTTATGCTTTGTGAAACACGAGTAGAAGGCGTCGTGGTTTCAGTATGACCTCGAAAACCCTTTACTGTTTCCGAATTCCTTGATGTTCACGATATTTAGCTGTGGCTTGTTTGAGATGCAGCTTGTGTCGCTCTATCCACTCAAAGTCAGTTCGGAGTATTTTCTTATCATTGAGAAAGCTGGCAGTACAAAGTTGAGACAAAGCCTCCGTCTAGCTCCACATCCTTTTCAGTTCACGTGCCCCATTGGAGAGCTGAGGTACTTCACCCTACGTACCTTAACCACTGGGAGTCGTCTGATAACACCTGCTAGGAAGTTTACCTGATCGCTAACACTGAAGAACAACGATGCTGTTTGGATATGCTGCCCATCGCAGCTTCGCACGTACTTTCTCAATGTTGTTCTCGGTAACAAAAGAAGCTCACCGCCCACGTCCAAACCAATCGTTCCTAGCACCTAGTCAAATGGTCTTCGCAATAATGGTTGGTTATAGGCTTCCCGGAGATCCTGAATATCCTTGGCAGACGTAACACCACCAGACACCTTGACGAAACAAGCAAGTCAACTTCATGAAGAGCTAAAATCAATCGAACAATCCGTAAAAAAATTCTGAGTTGTAAAATTAGTTAGAATAGTGTGTGGTATTCTTCTACAGTACAGCAGGCAGAGGCAAAAACCTTCTCGCCAACACACACACGAATAATATCGAAAAATAGCTCCATCTCAGAACAGTGGAAGGGGGCATAGATCCGAGGCTACCGCTGCTGGTGACTCCTTCTTGAATGACCTCTTCTCAGCTCCTCCTCCTCGACCATACGATCGTTCTCGTCGTCTCGTTTCTCCTCGTCCTTCCTGCAAGCTTTCCATTTTAGCTGTGGACTGCGTCATGAATCCCTTCTTACCATACCTAGTAGCTTGGCTCCCACAAATTAAAGAACGAATATCGTGTTCATCAGCTACAATTGGACTACCCAGCCGTTCAATTTTGAACTTGCATGCGGTATGCTCTTGTTACCGTAATTTGGGCCACCCTGAAGAGACTATTCACAAGAAATCGTCAATGCTTTGGGAAAAATTGTGAGAAACAATACTAATCCAGGTGGATCACTGCTCAATAAAATTAAAAAAGAGTCAGTGCCTCTCACTGACAAACGCAACTACTGCTACGAAACCATAAATGGCATGGCGTACTTGGAATCTCACAGTGTTATCATTTTATTCCATTTCTCATCAGTTTTTTCTCGCCCCTGGATACGATTACGATTGATAGCCTGGTAATCACTCCACATTGTTCGCTATCACAATCTTGTTGTATAGATTGACCAGCGTGCCTTCTGGTCGGTATTAGTTGGTATGTATATTATACAAGTAACCGTGCAAAATTCAAAGGCACTAACTTGAGACCTAACGTGCCAATAAACAATGAACGCGTCAAAAGTGAGGCCGAAATTTCTTCTACATTGCACATTTTCACTTTCGGAAAAAATCACCAAAGAAACCACCCAAAACGGTGCCCTCAACTTCCTTAAAGGCAAGATCTGGGATAAAACTGGTGATAGCGGTGCTTCGTAGTAATGACTGAGCTCGACCTGAAAGTGGAAAGGAATGCAAGAGAAATCTTTGGAAACGCTGAAATTAAGGCGTTAACCTACAACAAGATCGGATGTGGTACAATGGCGCGACAATGCGATTAAGAAGGCAAAATACGCGAAAGATCACGCCGTCTGAGGGAGCACGTTGAACTCTACATCGACAGCGGT